GATGGCACTTCCATCTTGGCCTGAGCCTTTAAAATCAGTCCTAACCGCAGAGTACCCGTCGATAACGTTGACCACGCTCACATTCCCATCTCTGGATGGAGTGATCTCCAAGCGCACGAGGGCTTGGTTGACATGGAGTTTATGAGCAACCAGCTGGTAGAAGATATCGTATGTTCCATTGTGCTTCTCTGGACTCCAGGTATACTGCCAGGTGAGAATTCCTCCTTTCATGTCAAGCGTGGAGGAGAAGTTGGAGATGGTTGAATTCTTGACAGTGGCGTCGAGAAAGTTGCCATCACCAAGGTCTAAGATCAAACCAGACCAGTGCGGAACACCGCTGATGAGATCGCCTCCATACTTGTCCAGCCACGGGAAGTTCGTTGCATTGATACTCCGCTGGAAGCTGTAGAAATCGGAGATGGTAGCAAATGTCTGTCTGCGCGAAAATACCGGCCACCCGTTGATCACATCGCCAGATACGGGGATGTCGAGCTCAAAGAACGGCCCGACAGCAGCAACGTTGATACCCAGGTATCCGTTTGCAACAGATCCTCGGGACTGGTAGTGGCCTTGGTCAAGCTCTGTGGTCGTCAGCCTCCAGTTTGCAACATCCCAGGTGACACCTTTGAACCTGGTTGCATAACCGGGCGGCTCATTGCCGGGGCTTCTGTTTCTCGCTGCTGAATTCCGGGCAAATACGCCAGTATTCCTCTCAGCGTCAGTCTCAGCTGCAACTGCGGTTATTATTGACAGCAACCACAGTATGCATGCAGCAAGATTCTACGACTCATCGGTTAATTCTCATTCACGAAGGGGTAAATACATGTCGAAGTCAGTGCAACTCACGATATTCGGTTGTTTCATGATTATAACTAGCTAAACATCCGCCAGCTTGCTTGTCGAGGTGTCGTCAAGAGACCGAACCAAGGCGGGAGGCGGGAGGCTTAGTTATATTCACGGCCACACGACAGCTCGCAGCAGGGAAGCCCTGGCAGATTGGCACGCAAGGTGCCGACGCAGCAATGTTACCTTAGCCGTCCATTATTATTTCTGGCTTGATGGTTGAAATACGGCACAGGAACTGGCATGTTATTGGCACCGAGCCCGTATTTGAGTTGGCTTTTCTTTTCTTTTCTTACTTCAACCACGGCATAATAATGTTGATGACCGAATCCCGCCATGCACGAGAGAGTTGCCCGTGTGATGCAACCAGCCTAATTAACCCCAGTCGTTAAGTTGGCCAAACCCTAGAGCTTAGTTAGCCAACCGGACCAGACTGCTCTGCAACTATAGGACTTGGTTATGGATATTTTTTGTTGAAATCGCGAGGGCGTCCAGAGTTGTTGTTGGAAAAGACGGGGAAAGATGACGTCACGTGGCGGCCCGAGCCTGCCCAGAAGTTTATGTAATGGAACCTTATTAGTTATAGAGATCACGTGCAGTAGTTGATGATGTCATCAGCCGGCTGTCTTTTCAACAACCAACAACGACTTCTCTTTGCAACGGACAATCACCACTGACTTCCTAGGCATACAGTATTATAGACAGGACAGAGGACACACGCAAGCTGCTTAGACTGCTGAGTCGAGAGGCGAGATGTTGACGATAAACCACTTCCTCCATCAGAAAATACAGCTTCGAGGATTAAACGAGACCTAAACCGATAAAAACACAAGTCTGCATCCACAGGCATATATAGCCATATATAGCTGCGAAACGGCCTTGTCACTCCAGACCAAGAGAACTAACTCCTGACTCCACTATTGTCGTCCTTTCTCTTGATTGCACTGATCCTGATAACTTCCTAGGGGGCTTGCTAGCTGGACCAGACAAGCTTGGAATGACGATCCCAAAGTCAAACACAGACTTTGGATTCCTGGGGGCGGTTGAGTTTGACGGGCTTAGTTGAAGGATGCTTGTTAGCTCTCCAGCCTTCTGGCAAGGATTGTACCAGTTAGTTTAGACAAGGGTCTCCGGTTTTTTACTGTCTGTTTATAACCAGCTGGTTAACTCGCTATTTGATGGTAAAGAGAACAAGAATTGCTCCGCAGGATGTTAGATACTAGGGCTCAGGAGGCGCTGTCCAAGCAAGCACTGATACGGCTGTAGCTCTCCTCGCACATCTTCCGCTTCTCCTTCAGACTTTCATCGAGGACAACCTGTTGAACACGCCGTGCCAGGGCTGCGATGGACTCAAATTTCCCATGCCAGCAGTCGTAAATGATTGCATCGATCGGGTCACTTTCGACATTTAGCTCGGGGAATTTACAGCCTATAAGCCTATTGACTCTTTCCGCACCATCTATATCCGCATACAGCTCAGACCCTCGGCTCATGAACCAAAACACAGAGCCCAGAGCGAACTGCTCGGTATCCGGCCCAGCTATCCCATAATCCTCCTTTCGGTGGCGAACATATGGCTCAAATCCCACTTCTACGGTCTCTCCAACCTTGAGTGCATGGTCATAGTCGATAAGTCGAATCTGGCCTTGGTCATCAAAGAGGATGTTTCGTGGGTTGATATCCCCGTGTGCATATCCTACTGATTCCAGACAGGCTGCGGCATCACAGAGCTGCTGCATCCATTGTAGCACGGGGTAGGGTTTGTCGGCTTTCCATAGGCGGTCGTAGAGGGTGCCATTTGGGAATAGCTCCATAAATATCACGTCTGGCCCGGTGAAGAGGGAGTGGGCTATGTGCTGGCATGGCTCTGAAGCAAGGAGCTGGAAAACAGACTGCTCGTGGCGCAAGTGTTCCCCGCCTGGGGTGTACGAGATTTTAACGCCGATGTTGTTTGCAATGGATATGAGGACGGAGTGTCCTCCAACTCCGTAGATGGTAGAACCAGCAAACTGAGTCAGGACCTGTTGGATCAAGGGGTTGAGGTTTTCACGGGTTACTGGTGACGAGGAGTGACGAGTGAGTTGGCCAACAACCTCGCAGAAGTACTCGTATGTAAAATTGAGTCCTGGCATGCTGACTCGGGAGAATGACGCCGGCCGTTACAAGGACATCCAATCCGACGCGAAAGTCGGGGCGGAAGCTCTTATTTATCTTTCGAGGCGAGGCAGCGCGAGGAAACGATCGACGGATGGCTCTTTATTGTTTCCAGCCAGTTAAATATTTTGATTTTCGCGGTCCTTGAACTTTAGTTACGTATTTCTGCACGGTTGATTGGCCAATTGCAACATAGTTAACTCGTTAGACTAAATTTCAAAACAACAAGAGTATTCGGTCCCAGAGTAATAATATGGTGGTACCAGGCTACACCGCTCTGTCACGACGTTGAACGAGAGATAAAGGAGAAATACAAGCAGTGTCAACAATAAGGGTACAGCTGCTACTGGTTCACGGTTTCACGCCATGTATTTTTCGTTCCAGCCACAAGGTACCAGCGTCCTCGGTGAATACAATCATCGCACGGCTCTCGCTTCTTGGTGGATGCAAGATAATTTGGTCGTGGGACCCCCCCAGTTTCGCATGGGTCCTTGTTGCAATTTCTGACTTGGTTCGGTGCTTCTGGGCCACGATGCCCGCATCTCATTTGAACCGGTGAAATGTCGTAGTAGCACATCGTTATCCGCTGGAAAAGCCCATCCTTAGTTATCAGCCGCAGCACTAACCGGTTATCTCACAGCTCAAGCAGACTTACAGGTATGGCAGATAGTCAGGGCCTGGTAATCTCAGTAAAACACCGACTTAGATGTGTTTGCGAAGTTATAGTTATACCTGGACCTTTGGTGCAGTTGCTAGTTACATTGTCTCAATCTCCTGGAATACATGCTCACTTATATAACTATGTTTCCCAATCCCTCCGATGCTGTTTAGTTTGATAACTTCTTCCATGTTTGGTGGGTAGGCTAGAATGCAGCCTTGCATTGTAGGCCAGGGTGAGGCAGATAATCTAGTGTACTTGTTGGCTTGTTCCGTGGAGTCTGGAAGTGTGTGGATGGTTTGATCCTTGAGGCAGCAAAAAGAATCTTGAGCCTGTATATTCTTTGCCCAGTTAAGTTTTTCGTTCAGTAACGAAGTAACCTGTTAGTAGTTAGTTAACTAACTAGTTTAGTTAAGTACAATGAGAAGAAAAAGCAATTTTGTGGAGGGTAACAAAATTGCTTTTGTCTCTGGGTTCCCCCACCAACAAAAGATGACGACGGAGAGGGGCAGGCCGAAGAGCTTCCCATGAATATCGGGACACTGACAGACATCACCATCGAATAAACATCAGGATGAGAACATCAGGATGAGTTACAGGAAGCACTTTATTCCCCTTGAATCCGATCCAGAAATATTCACGGATCTGATGCACGGGCTCGGGGTCTCAAATGCCTATGCATTCGTGGATGTTTGGTCACTAGAAGACACGATAGATATCCCACGGCCTGTCCTTGCGCTTCTTCTCATATTGCCGTCCTGTCCAGAATACGAAAAGCCCCTGGTAACGCACACGGACTGCGATGCTGGCAATAGGGAGGTCATATGGTTGAAGCAAACTATCAATAACGCGTGTGGCCTTTATGGAATTCTGCACGCTGTTTGCAATACGCCTGGGATAATTGGTGAGTGATACCTTTAAGCGTACTCTTACATCCTCCTACTATATATAGCTGTTTTACTCACTGCTTTTTGCATAGGTAGCGACTCTATTATTAGGAAGCTGATTCAACTTCCGTCTTCCGACCGCAGTGCCTTTCTAGAAGACTCAAAAGAGATAGAAGAGCTTTATCAAGAGGCGGCACTCGTTGGTCGCTCCGAAGCTCCACCAGCTGAAAGCGAAGTGGACCATCACTATTTATGTTTTGTCAAATCTTCTGGCCATCTGTATGAACTCGACGGCGATCAGGAAGGACCCATTGACAGAGGGAGCCTGCTGGAGGAAGAGGACCCCCTTTCGGAGACAGGGATACAGGCTGTTAGAAAGTACATCAATAGTAAAACTGATGGAGCCTTTGCACTACTAGCATTGGTTAAAAGTTGAAAAGAGAGATATACTGCCAAATTTAAAGCAGCGTCAGATGGTGGCTGAACATCTTGTCTGGGGACAGGTCATCCACTGATTCTCCATCGTTTGTTAGTGCATTCCAATCCAATCCAGGAAGACATAGAAATTCCCAGAGATCGCCATGGCCCCATGATGCCGCGACATGTAAGGGTGTCCACCCTTCATGATCTTTTAAGTTGATATCAACATTCGCTGTTGCTAAAAGGCTGACAATGAGACGGAAATTCATGTTTAAAAACTGGGAGGGTGGGCCCGCTAAAGATAGATGTAGCAACGGCAGCTCTCCCCTCTCAGTTTGTATACCTTGGCGAGGGTTAGCACCGTATTTTAGGAGTGCTTGCACTGCATCAACTAGCCCGAATTCGACAGCCCATATAAGTGGTGTCCTGCAATGAAAATCTGTTTGGTTTATCATCAATTCAAGTGTGCCGGTTCGAGCAGATAAATCGAGAAAATCCTCCAATGATTGGCTGGTATCGATACCCAAAACAACATTATGAAGTGGTGTAAAACCTCGACTATGCAGGTATTCGGCCCATAAATCACCTGGACTGGTATTGAATAGTTGAGCAATTCGTTGGCAGTGCGTTGGAGGTGCAAAGAATGCATTTGTAGAAATTGCAGAGGCTAACGCAGAGTCAATCATGGTTTCAACAGGGCAACTAACATCTTATTAGCCAGGAAGTATTAGAGTAATGTCTTAACTAACGATATAAGCATACTTATGAATATCATCTTCCCAGTTGGTGTTTGCGCCAAATAAGACCAACTGCGTACATAATTCCATCGCAATGTTACTGCCGCTGCCTTTCCAACAGTAGTATGCCGCATACTAGATCAAAATTAGCACCATACTAGTAAACTATTAACAGAATATATTGATTTAGGGGTCGTTCTTACAAATAAAATCCCCAAACCATAGGGGTCGACATCATGAACAGATGCCTGTCTGGTTCCCAGAAGGTTTAAAACTTCCAACGTGTTTCCATTTTGAAGCGCCATGAATATAGGTGAGTCATACGGTCTTTGAAATGATAGCGTAGAACTCTTGTTAAAGGTAGATTCGATCACAATACCTTCTGCAAAAGCAAGCTCTGTTTTGAAAAAGAATATTGTAAGTGGATAGGAAAAACAGAAAACAATAATGAAGAGTACCTGCCAAAACGGAATCTCTATCAGGTATGTCCTGATAATACGGCGCTTCGTTGCTCGTCAAGGTATCAATATTATACTCAGCCGGAGGAGATTGAGTTGTCAACATTTCCTCTGGACAAAGTATCGGGAATTGCCCTTGGAGAGATCTGTCTCGTATGCGCTGGCCAACGTCAAGGGCCCCCGAAGTTCTTGCTAGTTCGTAAATTCCCGCCAATTGGAGGTGCATTGCTGCTTCCTTCCGCTGGGATTTGCGCAGTTCTCTCGAGGTATATCTAGTCTGTTAGCGGAGGATATTCCCATAGGAGTATAACGTACGTTGATTCTAGAATACCCCGGGATTGAGGTAGCACTATGATATAGCCCAGCCTATCTTCCCTATAATGACTGGAATCTGCCCGTATTTCCTGGGTCTCCGCGTTGTACAGGTACTCAACCCACTCCCAGTAGCTGTGTCCTGAAGCCACCCATTCCTGAATTCTTTCTTCTTTCTCGAGAAACGTATGATCACGCTCCGGAAGTGAGAGAATCTGGCTTGTAAACCCTTGAAGGCCACCGTTAGTCCAACTCCTTCCTGTATGATGTTTTGATGAAACAGCCATATGATATAGGATTAGAGAATCCACTCTATCACGTATAACCTCTATCTCGTTGTATTCAGACCTGTCCACCTTTCTCCAGTAGATGGAGGTCAGGTTATCATTGTTTGCCGATACGATTCCACCTGAGCTCCCATGTAATAAGTTTATATTGCTCCTCCATGTTATAATTGCAGATTGTACATTCATGGAGAGCGCAACTTCTTGTATTGCTAGGATGGATCGAAGACGATGATCCTCCCGTCTTGGTCGGGTACATGGTTTGCCAGTGTTATTGCACAACTTAGCGAATCGACTGAGATGTTCCTTGCTCTCTGCCGGCAGGCTGTTATAACAAACTGAGATATCAGCATTAGGCTAGGTAACATTATTAGCGAAGCTTGCGAAAATATTGTGGAAAGGGGTAAGAATACGAAGTACATATTGTTGAATGATCCTCGCTAATTCACGTAGCCCGTTATCAAGAGCAGACAAGTCAGACATTTTGTCTCTTCAGGCGGCTGCCTTAGAAGCAATCATATGGATGAAGCAGCGATAACTTTCATTTTAAGAGCGTCCGATTTTTTTTTTTCCCCCATGCTCTTGCCTCAATCACAGTTGGATGTGATAACCAGGCTGCAATATTCAGAGCGCCACATAGTTAACGAAAATGATTTCAATTCTGAACCGCAACAGGGGTTCTTTACGCCGAAGGTCGCAATACCCCTGTCATCTGCGAGACCTATATATTACGGGTATATTGGATACATCATGATGCGAAAAGCAAAACTACCCACATCATCAGTCCTTTTGATAAATGGAAAGACAGCGAATATAGAGACTCACAGGTCGTTAATAAGGTGGGTGAGAAAGGCGTGAGAAAGGCGTGAGGATACGGGCACAGTGCGGTAAAATATTGGTGGGGATAGGCGGACGTATGTAAGAGTGTAAATAGATTATTCAGGAGCTCAATGGTTGCGGTCGTTGCTCATAATTACTACCCGGAGCGACGTCGGAATGCAGGCTGGGCGAGTGTGGGCGGAGTATCAATGCAGTTACCCTCACATTTCTTTCACACTCCAGGCCAAGAAGAGGGAGGGGGCTGTGCCGCATTGAACTTGGATGAAAATCTCGATCAGAGAGATACACAGGCAGCAGTGTGAGCGACTCCGGTCCATGGTTTGGTTTGTTGTCTTTTAGACAAGGGGGCCCTTGTCTGGGTATTCTCTTTTCAAAGGCTGCCAAACTCTCTGCTGATGCCAGAGGAGGGCGGAGAAACCATAAGTACACAGCTGTCAAATATAGCGTCGATTGCTATGCTTCTAGCTCAGTTGTTTGTGTTTAATAAAGAGAGGAGAGAGTTAAAGAAGAGGTCAAGGAGAGAATAGAACTATAGGGGTTGTATCTGATAAATGTACTCTTTCCGAAGTCGAGGTTTCTAGCATGATTAGCCACTGACTTACCACATGTATCCATGTAGTAAGGTACTATCAAATAAACGATAACTGATTTAATGAGTCATTCGCAGTTTTAACGCACAATCTGCTTATACTTAGACGACTCCATGAGATATTCCGTTTGTTCTTCCTCGTCGCAGGGGGTATTTTCTTGTTGCAAGTTCATTTCTCCATTAAGATCAAATTAAAAAAAAAAAAAAAAAAAAAAAAAAAAANNNTTTTCTCGGCAATTGTACACCTTTCATCAGCTGATGTGCAGTCCCAAAGCGAACGTCTCTCGTCTTGACAGAAGCAGCAGGTTCTTGGAGACTCTTGTAGTTTCTCGAGTGTTGTAGAGTACCTCACAGGGACGTATAAGTCGGTGTGGTCGGGTGCCGCTTCAAAGTAAAAGAATCACCCTCATCCCATTCCCCAAGAGTTGAGTACCGTCTTGAGCTGATGGAACAACAAGGGCGTCTTTCTCGAAAAACCAGTCTGACATAGGGTCACCGTGTGAGTCTAGAAGCTGTATTTCAACGGCGATAAACTGTCTTGAGACTGTTCCCACGGACAGTAGATATTTAGTTCTTGTGGGACATAACCTCCGTAGGTAAAATGGAGATAATGTATCTATAAGAAGGGAGGCAGCATTACCTCTATCCAAAAAGGGTATGTAGTATTAAGATCTTGAAGGGAGATAACCTTTCCCTTTTTGAATAATGAGGGAGGGGGCGGGGGGGGCTTCTTTTCATGGTACAGGTTGATGGCAGCCTGTAGATTGATTTTCTGGCCTTCCTTTATTTGTGGGGTATCAACGATTGCTTGAAGCTCTGCAATTCGTCCTTCTACGCCCCATTTGATTGGGTTAGGACACGCAGGCAGAGGGTTGCATGTAGGGCGCGAGGTCATAGTGTTGGATAACTGGGAAGTTGAAGTAGGGGGTCTGTCCTTTTTGGCCTAGCACTTTGGTATTAACTTATTACTTAGCACGGAACCTATGACGTTGCTGGTTAACTAGAGGAAATTATAGGCTCGCCTTGTTGTAATCAAACTGTATAGAGACACTAAGGAGAAGAAGAGGAGTAGGGGGAGGAGGAAGAAGTTTTTATAGCCTGGCGGACGCGGGGGCAAACATGGCAAACCTTTCCCAAAGGAAAGAGGAATTAACTAAAGTAAGGGGTGAATGAAGGGCGAAAGAAGAGGGCAGTGAAGAGGCTTTGTTGGTAAAAGTGAAAGAAATTCGTAGCACTGGCGTACTGGGAAAGGGTGCTGAACCCGTGTGATACCGCCGTATGCATCACTCCGGGCGTTGGATTGAACATTGCCTCGCAATGCATGACAGCCGACAGGAAGGCGTTATTCAAGCTGCAGGTAAGGGACTTCCTGCGGCTTTCCCGGGGTGTCATACATCGGCCCGTACTCAGAGCCAACGGCCTACTGAGGGATGTTCCAGAATCCTGACACCAGCGACCTTGGGCTGATGTACAATGGCCTGGCTCATTCGGGCATTGGTGGACTGTAAACGGCGGAATGCTTTAGGTGGGGGAAGCGGAGCGGTTTGTATGACACGGATCACTAAAGCGTTAACGGCTTTGCGCGTGCTATAGATCTGGTCATGTTTCTCGCCCTTAGATATTCTCCTTTTAACCTTGACGGAGGGGATATTCATGGTAATTTGGTGGTTCAACGATGGCTATTGGTAGCCATTGTATTTGGATTCCTTAATGCTTAAAACTTGGCAGCATAAACTGAAGGTCAGTCCTCATTCTCTGCAGCTCGACCACTTGCTCTTGATCTTCCCTGTGGTGGTTGGCCCGTAAGCGCACGCTCGCCAACGAAGCAATCCCCGGTCCAGGGAGTTTTACAAACAGGGCAGACTTCAGCCTGCTGCAACCTGAAGAGGTTGCGAATGCAGTTCTGATGCAGACGACCCGAACATTGGCTAGTCGAACATCGTTGGCCCTAGTAAAAGGAAAAAACCCGTAAGCAAGATAAATATTAGATAATAGGGGGAAAAAGCCATATATCATACCACTGTGATAATTTCTTTGCAGGCAAAACACGTCTTAATCTTGTGGTTTTGGCGAGTATCCCCATTCTCATCTTCCTCTTCATTATAAGTTTCAACCAGCCACCCTCGAAGCTCCATCAATGCTCTGGGTGAGAGACTGTAGTATCCCGCCCGACTCCTCTCCAGCCAGCCTTCCCCTACCAGGCGGCTCAGCATGCCTTCGGCTTCCCTCATGCTCAATGGCTGTGCGGTGCCGCTCTGGGGAACTCCCTCCGATTGTCTCCGGTTCAAATTGGCTCCCGTACGGGCAAGTCTAACGGCCTCAATGGACGAGACGACCATGGCTTCGCAGCGTGAGGTGTTGTTGGACTCAAACATGGCATCGAGCAGCCGCTTGACATAGGCGATCTCATCAGCGCTGTAGGTCGTGGCAAGTTGCATCATCGGGTCACTGGTGGTGTTTATGAGGGCGTACACGCGCGATTGCTGTGTCTGGTGAGCAGTGCTGCGTATCTCAAGGTCAAAGGCCGATATGGCTGTGTTGATCGCTGCTATGTAGGTATTCAGGTCCGTCTGGGTGATGTCTCCCGGCAAGATCTCCCTCCCTTCTACCAACCCCTCGCTGTCAGCACTTGTCAACAGGAAAATAGACGATAAGCAGTATGAACTTACCGCTCACAGTAAATATAGCAGCAAGAACTGGTTTTGCCTCCTCCAGGGTCATCGTCGACCGCGACATGAAGGCCTGCAGAAACGCGCGGTGACTGTGATTATACCCGTCGTCCGCCATCGTAGCTCCGCCAGGCAGTTGCTTCTTTTCCCTCCCTTCTTCTGACTCGGTTTTATGCCTTTGGCTTCTGCCTTTCAACAGCCTCAAAAGGAATCAATTTGTTTGTTATTTGTTCGCGGCTTGGAGATCCTCGTCGCGCATAGTTGATGCTAAATCTGCGTGTAGCTAGTTAAGTTAGGGTTAAGAATAACTAGCTAGCTAGGTATACATACGTAAATCCAGGCACCCGCCCTGAGCCTAGTTAACCAACTAGCTCATCGTCCACGCCCTACGGAGTACATGAGTTTTAACTAGGTTGAACGCGAGCTGGGACCAAACATCTGGCATCCTGATAGACGGTAGAAGTAGAATCTTACAGTAATACCCCCTGGATGCCGTCTGCAAAACCGAACATCCAGTCAAGGCGACTAACTAGTTATCCGGCCTTTGATCTCCCTTCCACGGCAAAATCACCGGCCAGCGTCCAAGGCCAGGGCATGTTCGTGCTCTGTTATAGCTTGTGGAATAGATAATATACCGACAAAAAAACAGATACTATGGGCGAATTTGAAGAAGGTTGAACGTCTCTCATGGACTTTTGAGCGCTCGACGCCCCTTTTTAGGTAGGTAACCAAGGCTGCGATACTATCAACTATCAACTATCAACAACACATCTCATACACAACACTGAAGACGAAGAATAAGTTGACTACGTGGTATTAGAGCTTGCTGCGAGCCATGTCTGCCACTAAGCCAAGTCTGCTCACGTCGGCGCTGGGCTCCATGCCGGAGATCATCTCTGCCATCACCTTACCCGTCCCCAGACTGAGCGAGATCCCCCAAGGACCATGCCCGGTGGCCATGAACAGCCCACCTGAAACCCGGTCTGCAGTCCCTGTGATGGAATCCTGCAGACGGGCAACGATCGGTAGCCCAGACTCTATATAAGGGCGGAAGCAGAGGGCCTCTCGAACCACCTCGAGATCGTCGATGTTTTCTCCCTCCAGGCCGTCTTGGGGACGGCCCATCAATATACGAGCTGCCTCTCTCACACGGGCTAATTTGTCCTTTGTCATGAGAGAATGAGCATCAGTGGCTACCTCCGGCAGCGGGATGTCTAGTCCGTTCAGACCTGCAAGGTATATTTCCGCGTTGGTTCTAGAGAATACCTCCGGGCTGAACCCACACGACTGCGGATGGGTGGTGAATACTGCATGACTCTTCCCTCCATAGACCTCTCGCTCCTGACTCAAGGTATGGCGAGGAGAGCGGAACACAAGAGAGTACCCGGAGAGTGACAGGACTGGAATATGCGCCTTGGAGAGCGGGAAGAGTGAGCTGAATGCCCGAGGAGTCCACGGCCCAGCAGCAAAGACAATATTAGTGCATGGAAGGCTGCGTCTTGTGTGAGTCTGGATATCTTCTATTACCACCTTAGATATCACTCCAGACCCTGAATCTTTGGTCGTGGACACAGCTCTGGCCGGGTTGTGGACCTGTACGCCTCGCTCAATGCATCTGGCGAGCATGAATTTGCACAGTCGTAAGGGGTCTCTGCAGCATGTTTCTCGGTTAGATGCTGTGAAAGAACGTGTTATAAAGACAGCTCGGGGCCGATTGGCTTGACTAACACTTGTGCGACAGAGTCCCTGCTGCTAATCCTCTCTACCGTACCGCCTTTCTGTCTTGTCAACCATGCGGGCGATGGATACTCTTCGTTAGCTGTCGATCCGCCATCCCCCTTGTCCTTCGATGCAGCTTCCGCCCGGCTAGCCCCCCGACGGAGCCAGTCATCGCCCCTGGCCGTTTTCTTCCCATCCAAACCCTCGACCTGAAGACTCAATGCAATGCTCGGCATGTATCCCCATCTCGCTGTTCCATCATGCTCAGCGGCGAGCCGCTGATGCAAATCAAACGACAATGCACCCAGCTGTTCTAGTTCTGGAGCATACCAGTCCCGAGCAATGAATCCTGCTGCATAGCCCGATGCGCACGAGAACAGCTCTCCAGATGAGTCCACAATGTGAATTTCTCCTGGATGTTTCTTCTGCACCGCTGGGTCGGAAAGGAAATACGCTATGGAAACGCCAATAATTCCGCCGCCGATTATAACGGTCGACATGTTGCTGTCCCTGGAGGCCGTTGGTGCTGGCGGTCTATCTAAGACGGCCACCTACCAAACTGTTTATATATATAGCTTTCTCAACGTCCATGGCCCGCTTCTACAATATTCTATTACCCCACAGCCCTCATGACTCACTTGGCCGAGTCGGATAAAGGGGTGGAGTAGTCAAGGAAAAGTTGGAGAATCTAGCTATGAAAACCTTGGGTGAATATGCTGGATGTTCTGCTCTAGAAGCCTAGCTAGTTTACCTAGGTTATGCGTGGGCCGCATTTTAGCTCGTCCCTTGGAGCATTCGTCCGAGAGGCCTAGGCCCAGACCTGGCTAACCGTCGTTGAACTAAAAAAGAAGTTCAAGACATCGGCTCGCTGTCCTTTATATAATGCGCAAACGGATCGTTCCTCCAGTCCACATTGCGCACATACTCCATCCCTTCGCTCACTTGGTTGCTCACCACTGTTCCGTACACTGCATCGAGGAAAGCAAACATCAAGTCGATACCCGCCGACACCCCCGATGAGGTCCAGATGTTGCCGTCAGCCACCCATCTTGCTTCGGGTACCCATTTCACCTTCGGGCCGTGCTTCGTGACCCGCTTGTATGCCTGCTTGTTGGTAGTTGCATGTCGTCCATCCAATATACCCGCCTGTGACAGAAGCTGAGACCCTGTGCAGACAGTCAAGACATACTGCAGACTTGGATAGATTTTCTTGATAAACTCAATTGCTGGCCCAATGTTAGGGCTGTCGGTTCCATAACCGCCGGGGATAAGGAGCACGTCAATTGGCGGGGCGTTCTTGAATGTGTGTGTGGGCATGATGGATTCCCCAAACGTAGATCCGAACTTGTCGATCTGTGATGACCGGACTTGGGTTGAAACTGGGTCCATTGTTTCGGCGATGATGGACAGATTCAGCTTTCGAGCCAGAGAGAAGAGATTAAGAGCATCAAGGGGGCCAAAGACATCCAGCGACTGGAACTCAGGGAAGAGCAACAGTCCAAAGTTCGATGGAAGACCATCATCGGCAGTTGGCTGGGGCGGATATTGAGAGGTATGGTTAGATAGAGCTTTGACAGCCGTGGCGGATGCTGCCAGGGTCCAGGTGACAGACTTTATGAAGCGCATTTCCAAGGGTCTATGGTGAATCTCGTGGGCTGATGATTCAAATTGTTATTCAACCTCTTCCTCCCCGGAAGGAATTCAGATTTCCTTTATAGCTCGTTCCCGCAAATGAGCACAACGGGTTTTCAGAGGTCCGTTCAATGGAGGGTATCCCAGCAGTCCCTGTTCCACTTCTCACCGCGTCCTACTGCGGTCCACCTATAAAGGCAAAAACTGCACAATCCCTTTAGGCTCAGCACTTCAATTGGGCCTGTCCACGCTGAGAATTCGTCGACATAGGCCCGCATCCGTCTTTGTTTCGCGACTTGTCCAACCCCCTTCGCTATCTTCATCAGAAACTCATGGTGGTTCCTGCTCTAGAAGTCCCCTTTACCACCAGGTCCATGCTAGCTAGTGACAAGACTTGTGCCCAATTCCTCGTCAGCTGTATCAGTAGATCATCTCGGAGGGCGGATCGAAACATATCTGTTCTCTTCTCTCTGCATTTTTCCCACATCAACGCCCTCCAAGGATCGACATCCTTACATATCGCCCTTCTCTATACCGGGTCAGGGCGTCTGCCTAAGGCGCGCCTTTGGGACAGCTGTTGAGAAGCGATAATTCAATCCGCAAACTACTTTCTCATACAGGGACTGTTAGATGAGGAGAAGTAATGCGGACTCATCGGCTAATCTCCACCCTTTTGATTAACAACCCTGCAATCAACAACGCGAAGTGAGACGGGTGAATCAGTTGAGCTAGCAGGGGTGGGAAATCAAGTAGTAAATCCAACCCCGCTCTGTTCTTTCAGAGGCATTATTTAAGAAGACCACGAGGAAAGTCCCCGAGGGACACAAGCAGGTTGTCCACAACATCCTCAGCAGTCAGAAGTACAGCCCTGAGGCCCCTCATATCCACGAGAAACTACGGTACGAAATGAAAGGACTTATGTAACTAGTTCTGTCTTATATCTAATGAAGTACTTAGCTAGTTAGTTAATAACAGGTAGCAAATAAACGCAACCGTCAGCCCACCACACAAGCCAAAATGGTATCCGCTATCAGAACATCCGCACGTTCTCTTCGGGACTATATCTTGAAGACCAAGAGTCGCACCATCAACTTTGCTAAAGGCCAAGGCACACCGGGACATCGATTTGCACCCCAGCAAACAGGAACGAACGATGCCAGCATTGGCAGCAGGCTTGATAACGGAGACATTATCACCAAAGATGGGACCCAATACAAGCGTTACAAATTCCAGCTTAATAAAAACGCTCAAAATAGCACTCTAAAAGATGAAGCGCGGAAGGACTCTCACAAAGTATGGGCTCAGGTAGATGTGCAGATTAAAGAGAACCCAACCCTGGAGGAATCGAAATCTACTGTTGTGGAGGCATTTGATACTATTGAGGGTCAATTATCGTAACTAATCACAACCGATTTACGAAGATGGCTCTGAAAATTTGTTGTCAATCCGCATATTACAAGTTAAATCAATGGTAAATTTATGTTGTGATTAACTGCGGAGTAACGAGTTAGTTAGACCACGACCACATCCCGTCCATCACCAATCAGCTGGTTCCATTTTTTTGGGCTTCGAAGTTTTAACTTGTTAGATTGTTAACTACCTAGCTAACGTAATCCACCATTCGATGACCACTACGACTCAATAACCACATAATAAAAAAATTGAACTCCTATTATCTACTACCTTTAAATAGTAATAAAATAATTAATAAAGTAGTAATTATAGAAGTAATTATTAATTTAAAGTTATAAAAGTATTCTAATATTACTATAATTACTAAAAAGTAGAAAATTAATGGAAAAACTCTTAATTATAGATTTTTAGGCCAAATGATATTAAATTAAGAAGCTACCTCTATATATTATAAGAATTTAATAAATACTTAAGAAGAGGTCCTATTATAATATATTGAATAATTATTTGAAAGAAAATTCTCTTTTATACTTTAAATTATTAAAAATTTAATTCTAGAGCTTATTTATAAGCCTATAAATAAATAATAAATATATTAGTTCTATAAAAGATATTAAAATTATATTATATTAGCATATTTTTAATTAATTAATTAATAGAAGTATATTATAAATAATTTATTATATTTTAAATACTTTTATAAACTTATAAATACTTAATTTATATATTTATTTTTTTCTTTATTAATTCTAATTTCTTCTTTTTAGTTAGAGAGTATAATTACTAAATATAATATCTTTTCTAAAAATATCTATAACTTTAATAAAAAATGCTTCCTTATTAGAATTAGATATATTATTAAGTAAATAATCTTTATCTAATCTTTCAAGAATAAGAGAATAACTTTAATTTATAATAGAAATTATAAATTTATCTCTCTTTTTATTATTATCTCTACAAATAGTAAAAAGCTCCCTTCTATACTTATTTATAAGGGTAAAGGTAATATCTAAAATATATAGCTTAATAACTTTAATCTAAAAGAGTAAGTAGCTTATTTTATAGCTTCTCTAAATAAATAAAGTAGTAATAACTATAGCTGGAAATAATTAAAGAAAATATTTAATAAATATATAAAAGAGAAAATAAATAAAGGAAAAAAACTCCTTATTCTTAATAATTATTTCTTCTATATTAATCTATAATTTATTAGTTATATTAATTAAAATTATATTCTTCTAGCTATTTTTTCTTCTTATTCCATTTATTAATTATAACTACTAAATATTAGAGTATCTATATCTTTAACTACTAAATACTTCTAGAAAATAAATAATCTAATATATAGTAGTTTTAGATATTTATTTATTTAAAAGTAAGACTTCTAAAGCTTATTCTATTTAGTATAATATAAAGCTTTTACTTCTTTAAATATTAAAATAATTTTTAAAATTATAAATATTTATCTACTGTATATAAGATATATGGATAATATAGTAATATAGTAAGAATATACTTACTTATATTATTTTTTTTAATTAAATAACTAGTAAAGTAATATTATAATATTATAATATTATAATAACTTAGTAATATATATAATATAATATAATTATAATTAGAGGTATTATATATCTCAAAGGGTAAAAAAATTATATATATAATAATAGTAGTTAAAATTACGTAGTAAACTATAATAAATAAGGAAGATAATTATTAGAAATATAATAAATTATAAAATATAAAAATATAAGAAAAAGAGGTTAATTAATATAAAATATACGTAATATAATATAGAAATAGAAACTAAGGTAAAATTTAGTAGTTTATTAACTCTATTATTAAAATAATAAGCCTATTATTAAAATATTTGAAGAGCGTCGCTATAGACTAAAAAGTTAATATATTTTATAAGGACCTTATTTAATATAGCTAAAGCTAATTAAAATATAGTACCCTTCTTAAGCTATAAAATATCTCTCTAAATATTATCTTACTTAATATTTATAGTAAGGAGCTTAATAGTAGCCTAAGTAGAAGTTAGAGTAGTAGTCGATATCGCAATGATAGTAGTAGTATTAGCTAGTCTAGCTATAGTCTTTTTTAAAGTGATAAAAATAAAAATAAAGATGGATATAATTAATTATAGGTATTACTATATTTTATAGTTAGACTAAAGAATATTATTATATTTAATAACTATAGTAGAGTTAATAAATTATATTATAATATATTTATTAATTCTTTTATAAAAGGTATATATAGTATTAATTATAGTACTAATAGTTTTAATAATTTTTTAAGAGTTAGTAGTTATAGCCTAGGTTAGAAGTATTTTAGTTATATTAGAAAGGGTAAATTTAATATAAGATATACTTTTAATATTAGGAAGATATAGAAGGGGTTAGATTTAGATTAAAGTTTTATTAAATTAAAGGAGTACTAAAGTTATCTTTAAAGAGATCGAAATAGAAGCTAACTGGAATTTTAATAATAAAATAATAATAAATCTTATTTAAACTTTTTACTTCTTAAAGGTAAATATATTAAAAGAAGAGTTATCCTTAGTAAATAATAGGGGGAGAGAGTTAGTTAACTTATATATTAATTCTTTACCTTTACTTTTAATATTAATTTTACTATTATTATTCTTTATTTTAATATTAGTATCGATATTAGCCTTCTTATTATTCTTTTTAGTAGTAGCCTTAGTATTATTATTATAAGTATCGTTACCTTTATAATTAGAATTAGTCTTACTATTATAGTTAAAGCTATACTTTTTTAGAATCGTATACTATATTCTTTAAATAATTAAAGCTTATTAGTACTATATAAACCTAAAGTAATATTATTAATAATATTATAGAAAATAAAATTCTAATAATATAATTTATTAAAGCTCTATTTATTAGAGTTATCTAAATAATAAATTATATTATTATTTACTTTCAAATATAAATAAATAAGTAAGTTTATAATTATTATTTCTTTAAGGATAATAATATACTCTAATATAATTATAATATTATCTAGCTCCTTATATAAGATATTGGTCTTCTTCTAATAAGGGAATTTATAGTAATAATACTATTTATTATTTTTTTTATAAAAAAGTTTTTTAGCCTTATTATATTTAAAATTATAGTATCGATAAAGAAATAAGCTTAGAATCTCTACTATATTTAATTTTAGCTCTAGGAAGTTATTTCAATAGAGCCTATAAGTATAAAATATAGTAGAAGATATATTTACTATTAGCTATAAGTAAGGTATAGAAGTAGATAAAGGTAGAAAAACTATTAATATATAGAGAAAATAAAAAGGAAGAAAACTTTAAAAAGTAAGAAAATCTAAAAAAAAAGGAGAAGAAGAATTTAAAAGTGGAAAATAAAGTATTTATAAAAAGGAAAATATATAGATTTCGACGTATAGTAAAGTATATAGATAAAGAAGTAAAATAAAGAAGGGAAGAAATAAAATAAAGAAGGTAAATTATTATAAAAATATAAAGAGAAGAGGTAATGATATATTATCTAAATAAAATATTAATATTAAATCTACTAATATTAGAAAATCTTCTATAGATCTAGAATATTATTCTTAATAATTAAAATAAACTTTTAAATTTTATTCCAATATTTTTTCTACTTTATAAGTACTTAATTATTATTTATTTTAATAAGCTTTTCTATTTTCTATTTATTATAGTTATCTATTTAAATAGATAGAGGATTATTATTTTGGAGTAGATAAGTAGAGAGGTTGCTATAGTAAAGTTTTAAATAAATAATGATAATAATAGAGTATATATATTATAACAAAGAAAAATTTAAATAATAGATAATATTAAAGATTTTATTAATAATATAAAAGGGACTATATTATAGTATTAATAACTTAGAAGTATTAAATAAAATATACTCTTTTTCTATTAATTTAGAGATATAGAGAAAAACGTAGTTATCTACTATAAAGACTAATAATATAATAATTAAATTAACTATTATTATCATTCTTACTATAATTACAATTATAGTAATCTGGAATAAGTTATATAAGCTAATCTTATTTAGAAATATTTAAGATATAAATATTATTATTAGTAATATTTAAGGAGGAATACTATATAAAACCTCAAGGAGTAATACTTTTATTATTACAATTAGATTAAAATTAATAAAATATTCAATATTCTATAAGAGGTTATATTATAATATTTTATATTTACTTATAAATAAATAATATAGTATAATCTTTATAGTAAAATTAGTATATTTATTTTGGCTATTAGTAAATATATTAAATATAATATTTATCTATCATAATATATATAAGTCTAATATTAGTATATACTAAAAATAATTAAGAAATTTATTATTATAATTTAATATAAGTAACTTAGATAATTTTTATTTATATAATATAGATATATAAAAGTAAGAAGTCCAAATCTATATAGATTAGTCCTTATAGTCTAGAATTAGGTAGGCTTATACCCCTACCCTAATAAAGTAGGGGGAGAGTTTTTATCCCCCCCCCCCTTAGAGGAAGATTTTTAAAAATTTAGCCTCCAACCCCCCCCCTTTATTTACTAAAAAGGGGGTATAGACTAGTCTGAATATAGTTGGTAAAATTTTATTTATAGAAATTAATTTCATAATAACTGGATTTATATAAAAAATATAGAATTTTATATAGAGTAGTATAGATTTTATATTTCTACTATTAGTGGATATTATAAATATATATGAAATAGAAAATTTAACTATTATTAGATTAAATACTTACTATTTTTATTATTTTCTTCTTCCTCCTCTCTAGTTTATCTTTCTTAAACTTAGTTATAGTAGGACTAGTACTAATATTTATTAAAAAGATTCCTAAATTTATTAAAATAAGTAGCCTTAGCTAATATTATTAATATTAATAACTAAAATAAACTAATACTTATTAAGAAAATTTTAAAATTTATTAAAATAAGT